AACAATAGGTTACTGTCGTAACCCCGGTTCTCTGAAACATCGAGTGGAGAGATCCACCAGCTTTGCCCCGCTTGCCGCACGAGAAGCAAATATACTTACTGGAGAATAGCATCTCGTGCAGGCCTTATATGCTCTCAGGTAAGGGGGTGGGGCCTTACCTGGCATTGGCTGCGCGCTTCTGTCTGTCTAGCCAGACTTGGTGCAATTGGATGCTTCTGCAGAGGTAAGGTATGGATGCCCTTCCCATAGGTGGATCTCTCCACTCGATGTTTCAGAGAACCGGGGTTACAACAGTAACCTATTGTTTTCCTTTGTCTTTGGAGTGTTACAAGCTGTTCGTGCATATATAAGATCTGTAAAGTTCTCAAACCCAAAGAGATGTTCTTTATAAAAGTTAAGACTCGTCCATGCCTTCCAAAAACACCTCATTCAAACACGCCCCCACGTCTACGTCACTGTGTTGCAAGATTTGCATAACACCGCCCAAATGTTTACGCAAAGAAAAAAGGCGTAACTTTTATTGTCGTTGTAGTATTGTTGCCGCCGTCGCCGCAATGTTGTGGAAACACACAGTGTACACAAATATGGTAAGAGGCGTAACATTTCCTTCACACGCTTGAGGTATTAGGCCAATCACAATGCACTGAATAGCTGGCCAATCAGAGCACACCGCGCTTTTCAGAACAATGAGCTTTGTAAAAATCAACGCGTTTCAGAAAGGCAGGGCAGAGAGGAGCAACAATAATGTACGGTATGTGGAAAATAATGTGTTTTTTGAACCTTAAACCACGTAAACACATTGCATTACACCAAATACAAATAATGGTAATGTATTATTTTAAGTCATTCTGTGGTCCCATTGTTGGCTTCAGCCCCAAAACCACTAATATAGAGATCATGTTATTTAACATAAAGTCAAAATGAATCGGCATTCATATCTCATTTTATTTTTGCAATGCGATACTTCTGAGTGAAACCGGATATTCTATGAGAAAAAATCTAGAGTGTGCCTTTATTTGATTGGGCTGTAAAACGTCATTCTTTTTACAGGAGGTCAAAATGGAAGATTTGGAGAGAGAGAAAAAACATGTGACATGAGCTGAAAGAACAAGCTATTTAATTTTGATTGCGAACAATCAATTTGATTTTTTCATTCACATAAAACCAGAGAGGTGTAATAATAAAGAAAAGTGCTTCAATTTTGATTCCAAGTTGACATTTAAGGTAAAGGAAATATATTAAGTTAACTACCAGTGATTGTTCCACATTTATTTTTTTTAAAGTATTAAGTATCTGTAGTTAAAACACAGGTGAAATCCTACATGCCAACAGTGGTTTAGCTTTCAAGTCTAACTCATATTCAGGTAATAAAACTAATTTACTATGCCACTGCTATTAAAATTACATTGAATAGTCACAACCCCAAACATTTCATGCCTCCACTATTTAGCAAGACACAAGGAAAATAAAAACTAAATAAATAATGCTAAAACCAGAGCTCAAATACATACGTCTACAGCAAGGTAGGCTTTTGCCGCTCCTCTTGCCTTTTAGACTATTTTAGACTCCAAAAATCTTCTCCATGTAAACAATTTTGAAATGACACACTATCAGCTTTGTGCGAGTTAGAGCACTGTGCGTTGTTAGTCTCTTTTGGACCATACAGAGTAGTAAACTGGCAGCTTTGGAACATGCCATACTTGAAGCATGAAGCAAGCCACCACAAGCACATCATCTGGACAATCAAACTTATATAATGTATTCAGAAAGTTTTCAGATACATTATGATATATGATTGACAGCATCAGGGTTTGGTACAGCTTTAGTGATCATGATTAACTTGTTAAGCTTGATTTCACTGATGATGGATCTTCACAGCTATTTTGTGTTAAAGCAAAGGCAATCGTCTACAGAGAGCATTACTCACTTCACTCTCTCACCAAGCATAGACGTCAAACCCTTGAAAAGGTGTTGCTATCCTGTTTGTTTAACATAGATTGTTGCTAGAAATTGCAATACTTCTGTCTAAAAGTTTAACCTTTAAACTCTGATTCACATTTGCTAACACAGATCTGCGTCCAAGTCACATTTGGAAAAATTTACTTTTATGCTTTTTCACTTTTTCAACTTTAGTTAGTCTGTAATGTTGCTGTTTGAGCATAAAAAAAGATCTACGAAGTTACAAAGCTCAAAGTCCAATTCAAAAGGAGATATTTTATTTAACAGAAACTATAGCATACTAATGAACAACCTTACGAGAACCTTTCAAAAATGTCTATGCTGCGTTAGACATCTCATCAGTGAATTCAGCCATAATGTCATGAAGCCAAATGTCCCGTTCCTCTTGTGAAGTGTCCACCAAGAAGATAACCACCTTACAGTCCCAGGGCTGTGATGCCTCCTGCACCGATTCCAGCTGGGCTACCTTTAAAAGTTTGGGGTCAGCAAGATCTTTTCATGTTTTTGAAAGAAGTCTCTCCGAGGCTGCAAATCAACAGTAATATTGTAATATTGTGAACTGAAATATACAATTATTTCATTTCATATATTAATGTATTTTAAAATGTAACTTACTGCTGTGATGGCAAAGCTAATCTTTCAGAAATAATTATAATATTCTGATTTGATGTTAAAGATTTTTTTTAAGTTAATATCAATGTTGAAAACTTGTTGAAAACTATTCTTAAATATGAAATAGAATATTTTGTAGCATAAATGTGTTTAGTAATACTGTTGGTCAATTTAATGTGTCCTTGCTGAATAAAGGTGAATTTTCTATCAATTCAAATAAATATAAAAGTCTTTCTGACTCTTTCAAATGGAGCTTATTGGCTATTGTTGATGAAACATTAACAAGAACTGGATCATAGAAAAATTCTCTGATCTGAAGTAGCTGATTCTCTGAAATGAAGTAGCTGTCTAAAACAGCCTTTTCAATAAATGAAAGAGCCTTTCTAACAGGAAATGAAGTGTACCAGCCAGCTGAGCAGTGATGGCCTGGAAGGGGAGCTGGCAGGACTCCTGGGTGAGGGGCCGGAGCTGGGTGCAGCTCACCAGCTCATGTTTGCCATAGTCCAGCTGAAACACTGACACCAGACCATTGGTCAGGATTCCTTTCACCAGTACACGGTACCAGCTGTAAAATCACACAGATGATAAGTGGTCACATGGCCTCATAAAACACATCATATGGCCCAAGCCTCTCAGTTCCAGCTCAGTTTAGCTCAAGCCCCAATTCGAAACATTTGAAACAGCTAATAAGGTCTTCAGGATCATTAGAAACTTCCAGGCAGTTATTTTGGAGCTAAACTCCACAGGAACTCTGGCCCTTTATGAGCAGAATTGAAACACCCTGACCTAGACACATATACGAAAGCACGCTTACTTGTTTTCCACCTTGGCAGCACAGACCTGGTTCTTCTCCACTTTAAGTGGTTTCTCCTCCATCTTATTATAATGCAGAATCATCTCCCCCATCAAATCCACCAGTTTGTACATATCGTGCCATGGCTGTAGCACAAAGTGCCCAGGATGGCATGCCACTGAAACAAACACGTCCAAATTCTGCCCAATCTTGGGCAGCTCCAGCAGTGGCGGAAGAGACAGTTTTTCAGGCGGAGAGCCGGGAGGTGCACTCTGGCTCCCCAGCGGGGATGACATCCTCTTGGGTGTGTGTGGGGCTTTATCCTGTCCATCAGTGCTGAGGCTGGAGGTCTGGATGGTGGCAGGGTTTGTCGGGGCGTTGAGGGATTTTGAGGGCCCCCGGCTGCTTAAGAAAACATCCTTCTGGTGGTTCCACAGATTAGAGTCGGCCAGCTGTTGGTTTAAACTGCAGCTTGTGTTGTGGAAGTTCTTGCTGGTGAAGAGATAAACATGAGCGAGGCGTTTGGGCTCATCCACTTTAGCTATCTAGAAAAACAAAAGCAACTGTTTTTAGTGCTTCTTTTCTGCTGTTGTTAAAGGGATAGTTCACCCAAAAATGAAAAGTCTGTCATTAATTACTCACCCTCATGTCGTTCCAAACCCGTAAGACCTCCGTTCATCTTCGGAACACAAATTAAGATATTTTTGATGAATTCCGAGAGCTCTCTGACCCTCCATAGACAGCGAGGATACTACCATGGTCAAGGTCCAGAAACTTAGCAAGGACATCGGTAAAATAATCCATGTGACATCAGTGGTTCAATCGTAATTTTACAACGCTACGAGAATAATTTTTGTGCGCGAAGAAAACAAAAATAACGACTTTATTCAACAACTCGTCTCCTCTGCGTCACCCTGGCGCCATTTTGGAGAGTATCCACTGAACGTAAACAACATATGCTGTTCTGTGTCAGCCGCTCCACACGGATACGCTGTTTTCGTTCAGATCAAAGTGCAAACAATGTAGACAACGTATCCATGTGGCGCAGCAGACACAGAACAGCCTACACTGTTTACGTTCAGTGGATACTCTGCAAACTGGCACTAGGGTGACGCGGAGGAGACGAGTTGTTAAATAAAGTCGTTATTTTAGTTTTCTTTGCACACAAAAAGTATTCTCGTAGCTTCGTAAAATTACGGTTGAACCACTGATGTCACATGGACTATTTTACAGATCTCCTTGCTACGTTTCTGTGCCTTGATCGTGGCAGTATCTTCGCTGTATATATGGAGGGTCAGAGAGCTCTCGGAATTCATCAAAAATATCTTAATTTGTGTTCCGAAGATGAATGAAGGTCTTACGGGTTTGGAACGACATGAGAGTGAGTAATTAATGACAGACTTTTCATTTTTGGGTGAACTATCCCTTTAAGTACTTTGTACAAGCATCTTTGTGCCTTTACTACATTTTTTTCTTTCTGAAATTAGCCTCAGTTTTATGCTTGTATCTCATGTGCAAATAAAATCAAATGAAATGCAAATGTGAAGAAAGCAGCATTAGTATTGAACTGGCCTTCAAGCTGCAGTCACTGCAGTGGAGAGCCGTGTCTCTCAGCCACTGGACAGCATCTGGAGTCCATGAGCCTACGCTCACAGGCAGATCTGCCAGACAACACTTCAGCGCCTGCAGAGTGACAAATATAGGCAGACAGACAAGCTTACATATTATTCATCTAACAATTAAATCAGTTCACTCATAAATGACTTCTGTCATCACTGAGTCATCCTCATGTTATTCCAAGTTTTTGTATTTATAACGAAATGTCTAAGCTGCTATCTTCATACAATGCAAGTGGATGAGGACCCTGGACAGCCTTGGATAATATGGAAAAAAGCAGCCTGGACATTTTGGACAGCCTAACATAAAGTAATTCCTGCTTGCGAACAAAAGCAAGTATTACAAGTTTTTCATGCCTTTCATTCAAAAAAATAAAAATGAACACAAACTGCTCTGCTGTTACAAACCACTACACTCTTTAACCTCTTTGTGCCGTCATTATCTGTTGTCTGACCTGGGTCGGGGTGGAAATGAGGTCACGCAGCGTAGGAGGTGGGATCTCTCTCAACTCAGTGACCTCGATTGACGCCTGAACGCCTACATCCACAAACAAGATGTCCAGCACCCGGCTGCCGTGCAGGTTTGTTATCTATGGCGAAACCACAGTGGACACAGTTTTAGACCTGAATCCCCAGGAATTATATTATGTTGAACTCATAATTACTGTTCAAGTAGGAAACTCATAATTTTATGAACCTCTCCCACTTGACCATTGCACCACAATGGTCATAATGAAGAAAATGTGATGGCTTCAGCAATTCAAAGGTTAGTAGTTTTGTAGCAACTTCTATATTTTTGTGTGACATGTCATATTTTATGCTATATTTTATGTCATATTTTATACTATATAGTACACTACTGTTCAAAAGTTTGGGGTAGGTAAGACTTTTTAATGTTTTTGAAAGAAGTGTCTTATGATCATCAAGGCTGCATTTATTTGTAAAAAAATACAGTAAAAACAGTAATATGGTCAAATATTATTACAATTTAAAATAACTGTTTTAAATGTTAATATTTTTCGAAATGTAATTTATTCCTGTGGTATCAAAACTGCACTCCAGCTTTCAGTGTCACATGATCCTTTTAGAAACCATTCTAATATGCTGATTTAGTGTGGTTTTTTGAAAACCGCAATACATTTTTTAGGATTCTGGGATGAATAGAAAGTTCAAAATAACATCCATGCTAAATAAAAGAATAAATGTATTTTAAAAAAATTACCGACCCCAAACGTTTGAAATGGTATCATGTATAAGACAAATTGCTGCAGAAATGAATCATTTTGATGTCATTACCAACAAAGCCACACACAGAAGAACCATTTTAGCATTATGAGAGATACCATAAAAATGAAAAATGTCCGAGTCTGAGGACATGAACAGCTCAGAGTCAACATGTATGCAGTGTTCCTGGTGAATGTGGGAGCAACTCCATAAAATACATTTAAAGAAACAAATCAACTAATAGATGAAATGCTCATTTGAGGCCTTAGGACTTACAGATTTACAATAGTTGTTAATGACTCTTTTCTTTTCTTAAAGGCATAGTTCACCCAAAAAATAAAAATTCTGTCATTAATTACTCACCCTCATGTCGTTCCAAACCTGTAAGACCTTCGTTCATCTTCGGAACACAAATTAAGATATTTATGATGAAATCCAAGAGCTTTCCTACCCTCCATAGACAGCAAGGGCACTACCACGATCAAGGCCCAGAAAGGCAGTAAAGACATTGTTAAAATAGTCCATGTGACATCAGTGATTCAACCCTAATTTTATGAAGCTATGAGAATACTTTTTGTGTGCAAAGAAAACAAAATAATGACTTTATTCAACGATTTCTTCTCTGCCGTGTCAGTCTTCGACGCGTGTTCTTGAGAGTACCATAAAGTTGTTGTTTTTTGCTTTGCGCACAAAAAGTATTCTCGTAGCTTCACAAAATTAAGATTGAAACATTGATGTCACATGGACTATTTTAACAAAGTCCTTACTTCATTTTTGGGCCTTGAACGTGGTAGTTGCGTTGCTGTCCGTGCAGGGTCAGAAAGCTTTCGGATTTCTTCAAAAGTATCTTAATTTGTGTTCAGAAGATGAACAAAGTTCTTACAGGTTTGGAACGACATGAGGGTGAGTAATTAATGACAGAAATTTCATTTTGGGTGAACTATGCCTTAAATGCTTCTACTGACAGAGCAGACTCACCTCCACCCGGGACCATTTGCCTTTATATCGAGCCAAACAGATTTTGCCACAGAAAGGACGTGAAACCAGCAACTCTGATGTGACCTTTTATAAGGGAAAGATATGTGAGCATATCCTGTCTGCCAGACAACGGGAGGGAACACATCATGAAATGCACATCAAGCTTCTCTACAGGGTGCTGATATGCACTACAGTAAACAATAACTATTTAAAACACTTTGATGCCTATATTTATACACTGTTGTCTATGTTAGGCACTCTAGCACACAATCTGTGGCAGCAGGTAACTTTTTATTAGGGATTATGTACTTGACGCCTGCCAATCCTATTAAACCCATAATCCCAATCTGTCTATTTTGGCCTCTTCACCTCCTCTAAAGAAGTCTCTAGCAACATATTTGAAGCAGCACATACAGAGATTATGCCTGTTGCAAGTGTGGCACCTGGGAATGTAAATAGTTTTCGGTCCTCTCCAGAATTTCGTTGAGTTTAGTCAGGCCTCTGGAGGGCACCTGACAGTAGATCGTCCCATCTGAGCAAACGCTGCTCACATTCACATTCATGTAGGCACTGTTCACCTATGACAGAATACAAATGTATTTGTCATTCACTTAATCACTGGTTAACACACATCACATTAATAAATTCCATTTGAAACTTTTCGCCTCTGGAGGGCACCTGACAGTAGATCGTCCCATCTGAGCAAACGCTACTCACATTCACATTCATGTAGGCACTGTTCACCTATGACAGAATACAAATGTATTTGTCATTCACTTAATCACTGGTTAACACACATCACATTAATAAATTCCATTTGAAACTTTTGAGTATTGATTATGCAACAGTTCTAGTCCACAAATTTGATTGGCTAAGCAGATTTCCAAAAGCACTGACATAATTGGTGCAAGTACTGTGGTAGTATGATAGTTTGGACCATGTTTTTTGGACATGCTATCTTGTCAGTAACATAGTATTCTTGAGGCACATTAGCATCACAGTATTTTTGGATAGGAGGGTTTCATTGTAATTGCAAACACTTTTTTGGTTACCTTTAAGGGACTCTCTAAGGATTTGTCTTGTAGAGCTTTCATACAGGCAGCATTGATGTTGATATCATCATCTTGTGATGTGTCATACAGGACCACCACAGGCACTTCCTGACGCACTAAGATCTCAGCCAATAGGATCTTGCCAGTGGCCATTGACTCAAACCTCTTCAGTACTGCCTGCTCCTGACTGAATGACTCCAGGCCTGAAACAAATTGATATAAAGACAATATTTGACATTAAATGTGAAACTATTTTGTCTGTGAATTCATAACTGAATGCAAATCTCACCTGCTAGTTTACATTTGGTGGCTTGGAAAGGCAATCTATAAAACTTCTCATGTAACTCAAATAGTTTGCTCTTGCTGATGACTTCAGAAAAGCCATGATCCACGTAGTACACCTGTTTAAACATCAACATACAAGTGCAGTAATAATTATTACAAAAACACAGAGCATTATCTTTATTTATCTATATTGCACAAATGTATCACAGATCTAAACAGCCTCAGTTCTACAAAAGAAAACCACAATGATCCACTGTGAACTGCACTATTGGTTCTCTACCAGGGGGTCGGAAATCATTTAAAGGGATAGTTCACCCAAAAATTAAAATTCTGTCATTAATTACTCACCCTCATGTCGTTCCAAAGACCTTTGTTCAAATTCGGAACACATGGGGGTGAGTAATTAATTTTTGGGTGAACTGTCCTTTTAAAACAACACAAAAACAAGCTTTTAAATAAGCTAAAACATCTAACAATCAAGATGAAACTTCATATTTCTTATTTTATGTTGTTTCCTCAACAACTGTGTCACGGTCTTGGATACCTGAATATGTGAGGGAGTTTTAGATTTCTAGACCTGGAGAAGTCATGGAAATGAAAAATAAAAAAAATCTTAAAAATTCATGGAAATTTCTGTCATGAATATAAATTATGTCTTTTTATGTCAAGATCTAAAGCGTTTTACTAAGTAGAAATTGCGGATAAATTTGTGATTTGTGTGATTTCTGGAAGTCATATAAATTCATTATTGAAAACTAAATTCACATTCACCTAATCCTACAGAAATTACAGGATTTACTTATTTTAATTTTTATATAATTTAATATAATTATTTTAGTTAATTATTTTAATATATTGCTCCTAGCTAAGGCTGTCAAAAAAAATTCGAATTTCGAATATTCGTCGAATTTAAAATAAAAATCCACATTCGAATGCAAAAATGTTGCATTCGAATGTTGATTTCGGTCCTTTGTATTAAACTATGCATACATACATGATGCTGTGTTGTTTATAGTTGTTTAAGCAACTTAATTACAATTGGTTTATAAACATTATGCACTTTGAATAAACGTGCATTAGTAATATTTTGCTCGATGCGCCCACTTGTGGCCTCAGGAGAGAACCCAAAAGCTTTTCTTCACCCTAACTGGAATTATGCATTTTAAATTTGAATATAATTCAAATTTTGATCATATTTAAGTAAAAAATTCGAATTTAGTTTTTCAGCTATTTTGACAGCCCTACTCCTAGCTTCTGAAAAAAGAAAACAAACAGCTTTGTCATTACAGCAGAAAAACCAGAAATATCTCACCCTACAGGGTAGCCTTTGAATACTGTCTTGGATAATGTGGGGCCTTAAAGTCAAAAAGGTTGAGAACCACTACACTACTCTATTATGTTCAGAAGTGTTCTTCAATGACCCCATAACGCACCTTGACCTTGTCGGCCATGACCTCACAGACTTGTGCTCGGAGGATCTCCTCCTCTTCCTCAGCACATACAGCAGTCAGCTGACCTGTTAATGGTGAAGTCAGAGCCACCTTGTTGCTGTCTTGCCCATAGAACTCTCTCATTTCATCTTCTAACTTCTCCTGTGCCTTAGAGTAACCTTCACCTATGTACCTGCATATAAACAGACAAACACACTTCATCAAGAGTACAACAGTGGCCGTCAACTTTTACAGTGGCCTGACAGATTTTCCCTCAGCGGGCATTTCCAAAAATTCTTCAATCAAAGAATTCTATTCTCTGATCCAATCCAACCTGCTCTGAGATTAATCTAAGCAAAGGCATGATAAAGGTCACACCCCTCATGATCTATAGAATATTGATTATAAATCGCACCTCAGAATGACGCTGTTTGTGTCACCTGCTTCCACCACCAGGACAGAAGGGTATTCCTCTCTAGGGATGACAAGAGGAGGAACAGTCTGGCTGCTCAAACTGCGCTCTACTGCTTCTTTCGTCTCTGAGCCAGCCAATCCCGACTGGTTACGGTTCTCGTCTTCTACTACTTTTGCATACAGAATTGCTCTTTTGGGGTTGTCCGGCATGGGGTAGTCAATCGTGCATATATCTGAAAGCAGGGTGAGGTGGTCCAGCACAAACTCCGGTAGTTTACATTTATATGTGTCCTGATACAGTTTAGGCAGAGCGTGGGCCCACAGGCCACTGCTGTATTTCAAGAGCAGATCTCCAAGCTTCTGCTTGACGTCGGGTGGTAGATCCCTAGGGGATGCCGGAGTGCTTGATTTGGAAGTGGCAGATGATCTTTGAGTCTGAGGTTTTTTGTGATGAAATGGGGATTTGTCATGGGTGGGGGGTGTAGCAGCACTATGTGGGGTAATCTGGCTAGTTTCTTTAGCAGGGTACAGCAGCAACTCTTGAGGTTTGGTACTGCATGGTTTTTCAACCTGCAAACCGAACAACAAGACAGCATTTTTATTCTGCAGACAAATACACAGAGCTAATTTATTAATCATTTATGCACAATTGAGTTTGAGGTCTCGACTTAACAAACGGGACCTTTCCTAATCAGTGGGCATTTATCAACCACTTTACCATACTGGATGCCCCTAAACCTAGCCCCAAGTGGGTTAGCAAATCAGGTAAAGCAGTTGCAAACACCCACAGCCTGTGGAATGCCCTTAATTGAATGGGCAAAGCCCTAAGGTACTGCAGAAACCTATACTTGGGCAGACTTCTGGCTGCCATCTGGTGGCACTGTGACTTGTGAACTACAACAGCCAATTCCCAACCAATTCCTGTTTCCCTTTTTGTGATTAACGTAATCCCTCACCATGACAACACTGTTCGAGATATCCACCTTTTTCTTCAATGCGGAAGTAAGCCTATGGGTGAGACTTCCGGTTCATTAGCCGCTGTAGGTAAATAACGAGGAGAATAACAACGTGCAGTAAACGGTAAAACTGTTTGCACTACAAACCAGTGTGTTCATAATTAAGATAATACATTAAAATAATATGATAAGACACACCAATTTTCAATATCAAGCAGCAAAACGAACTGTTTTGTACAGCTAAAAATAGCTGGATGCAGATGAGACCGGAAGCCAGACCCATAGAATTTACAAATGGCC